ATCAGAAAAATCTAGAGCGAAAAATCCACATGACAAAATAAAACAAATTTCTTAAGTAAATAGATACAAAAGGTAAAAATTGGATGGGCAGATCATCTTTAGATTAAAGGAGAATCAATACTATACAGAGAGCTAAAGTAAAGAGAAGTTAAAATTGAAACAAGAAGATATCTCCATATGTCCAGAAAGAAAAAAGATGGAAAATACCAAATATTTATGATGATGTGGAGAGTTGGACACTTAATACTACCAGTAAGCATACAGATTAGAACAACCCCTTCAGAAAAAGTTTGACGCCATCTACTGATGGCAGATAAACTCCACTGGTTGACTGATGTCAAAAATAAATGGGAATAAGTGACTATCTAAAATTTTGTACAAGAACATTCATGGCATCAGTATTTATAAGAATTCAAAAATTGAAAAATGCATACATCTCCATTATGTATGGGGTGCAATTATCCAAACTATGTAATACTTATACTATAAACCAATGAAAATGAATAATCTATAAATAGAGAGGGCAAAATGTAAATCACAAACATTCTGTTGATTGAAAAAAGCCGGACACAAAAGAATACATGCCATATGATTCCAGGAACTTTTACTATTCTCTTACATAACCTGCAGGTTGATCTCAGATAACTACATCCTCTACATCCTTAAGAAATGATTTGCTACATATAGGAATAGAATTAATGCAGCCTCTGATAAAAAAAAAATCAACTGAGTGAGAGAAAGGAGACATACCTGGGCTACAGTGCCAGTTCTAACCCAATAGCTCTAGATGACCTTGGATAAATGTCATCTGCTCCACCTGTCACCAAGGGTCAGACCAGCCTTGCTTCCCAATCAACAAAGTCTAGAGCACAGTTAAATGTGATTTCCATCAGGAAAAGCACTCTGAGTTCATAAAAGGGAATATAATTTGCCATAGAAATCCAAAGAATTACTTTAATGGCCAAATTTTCTAATGTAATGTAACTGTGATGATTATTACATTTTAAAAATAATCATTACTCTTTTGTTCCTATAACTATTACCTTTCGATAATAATTTGTAGATAAACACCATCTGATACATGGCAAAATGGCTACTAAAGGATGATTTTCACACAAAGAAATAAGATTCTTATATATAATATTAAACATGATGGGCTGATATGATTCAACAAATCTTTTTTTCTTCTTAAGTGTACTGGTCAGGAATGCAGGCTCTGCAGACAAACTAGGGACAAATCCTTGTTCTTCAATATTGTGTGACTCTGAATACTTTTATCTCACTTTAAAGTCATTCAAAGGCCCCATCTGTAGAATCTGGATTATGCAGTACTTTCAAAGAAAAGAAAATGCTCTTAAATAATTGCTTTGTGCTTTCGTTTTACAAGGATAAATAGTCAGTATCCTATTATTTAAAAAATATTTTGCATAGATATTGGGATACTTGGCTGTCTATGACCTTGGGAGAGGGAAGGAACTACTTTCTGCCTCAGCTTTTTCTTCTGTAAAAAAATTAGGAAATCAGATTTTCCTACCTCAAGGGTTATTGTTTTGAGATTACTCAAGTTAGTACATTAATGTACTTAGAATATTACTGGGTACACAGTAAAGGATTAATATTGTGATCTGTGACATAAATACTTGCAAGTTGAGATTTTAATTTTATGCTATTTATTTTTAAACTGACATAAATTGAATTTACTTATTTTTACAACATGATATTTTGAAGTATATATACATTTCAAATGATTAAATCAAGTTAATTAACATATGCATTACCTCACATAGTCATAATATTTTAAAAAACACTTAACATCTACTTTCTTAGCGTTTTTAAAGAATACAATATAATGTCATCAATTATAGTCATTATGCTATACAGTAGATCTTTAACTTTAATTTTGTATCTTTTTAACATCTTCCCGACACTTCTCAAACTGCCCCAGCTTCTGTTATTCTCTGTATTTCTGAGATCAACATTTCTAGATTCCACATATAAGATCATGCAGTACTTGTCTTTCTATGACTGGCTTATTTCACTTAACATGATGTACTCCATTTTCATATATGTTGTTGCAAATGACAATATTTCATTTTTTGTGGCGGGATATTATTCTATTCCCCCCTTTCTCTTACTTACTTACTTACACACACACACACACACACACACACACACATTTTCTGAGCTCATTCAGCTGTTTATGGACACTTTATGGATTGATTACATTTCTTTGTAATTGTTAATATATCTGCAACAAATATAGGAATGTGGATATTCTTTCCACACATTGGTTTCATTTATTTTGGATATATACTCTATGTTGGAATTGCTGGGTCATGTGACAGTTTTATTTTTAATTTCTGATGGAAACTTCATACTGTTTTCTATAACAGCTTTAATAATTTACATTTCTACCAAGAGTGTGCAAAGGTTCTTTTCCTTCACATCCTCATCAATACTTGTTATCTTTTGTCTTTTTATTATAGCCATTTTAACAGGAATGTTACTTCATCATGGTTTCAATTTGCATTTTCCTGATGATTAGGGATGTTGAGCATTTTTATATAACTGTTGACCATTTGTATATCTTCTTTGAAAAATGTCTATTAAGGTCTTTTGCTCATTTTCAATTGGGTTATTTGCTTTCTTGCTATTGGATTATTTGAATTCCTTTATCAGAAGTACAGTTTGCAGGTTTGAAGTTCTCTTTTTACTCTGTCCATTTCTCTTTATCTGTGCAGAAACTTTTTAATTTGGTATAATACTATTTGTCTATTTTTGCTTTTGTTGCTTGTGTTTTTGATGTCACATGCAGATAAAAATTGCCTGAATCAATATCAGGAAATTTTACCCTTAGTTTCCTTCTAGTGCTTTCACAGATTCTGTTTACAATTAAGTCTTTGATCTACTTTGAGTTGATCTTTTATATGGTGTGAAGTAAAATCTAATCCATTCTTCTGTATGTGGATATTCAGTTTTCCCAATACCATTTATTGAATTGAAAGACATTTTCCCATTGTATGTTCTTGGCACCTTTGTAGAAAATCAGTTGGATGTAAATATATGAATTTATGTCTCAGCTCTCTATTATATTCCACTGGTCTGTGTCTTTTTTTGTGCCAGTACCATGCTGTTTTGATTAGTATAGCTTCACAGTATATTTTGAAATCAATATGAATTATGTATTAGTCTTTCAATCATCTTCCTGTCTGCACATTACCAAAGTGCTTTTCTGTTCAATCTCTTTTCTAAAGAGATAAAACAAAGTTCACACATGCATGAGGTATGAAAGCACTATCATTTATGTTAACTAGTCCAACTCTTTCATTTTACAGATAAAGAAACTGAGACTCTGAAAAGTTTAATGAAAAATATAGGAGCAAAATCCAGTCTAGTATGCATGACACTACACCTGTGACCTTTCAATTGGTTTGAAAAACTCAAACATACATATTTCTCTATGAACTGTACAACTGCACATACAGCTGTTAAATATAGTATAATTAAATAGTGACATATTTAGTAAAATAAATAAAATATATTTTGTTAATTATTGTTGGTATTGTAAGTATAGTGATTGGTCTTGATTTAAGGGCAATTGGTTCACAGTTGGTACCTTTGAGGGAGTTTATTTCCCTACAACAGAAAAAGAAATCATTTTAAAGTATATATTCAATAAAGTATTTTTATCTCTAAGCTATAATTGAATATATTTGGATTTTGTTAAGCTTTTACTGTAAATAAAATTAATTTATTCAGAAAAGGAAATGAGATATAAGTTGTTGGCAGCTTGAAAATTAGTCACTTTCATTTAATATGAAAAACCTCTTCTAGGAATGATAGAAAGGATGCAAGGTACCAAAACTATAATGTAAATTATAAGTTAAAATTGATTAATCTATAATCTCAGGTGTAAGATTAAAAAATAACCTTCAATAGTCAGAAGATATGAGTTAAAGTTTTAACTCCATTACTTTCTAGTTTTTAACCTTGAAGCAATGAAATAAACTGAATTTCAGTTTCTTCATCTGCAAAGAGTTAACACTTGCACCTGGTAACTCCTTAGATTATTGAGAATAACATATGATAAATATACATCAGAGTATTTTGTAAGTGAAAAATCATACAACTATTGACATTATCATAGTAACGATTAAAATGGGGACCTAAAGAGCATTGTAAATAATTACTACTTAGTAGCACTAGACATACTCACTAAACAAACTTAACTCAGAGGGTAAACTATGCAAACACTTTCAACTTTCAATGATAATGCTAAAACATCATACAGAAACATACCACAAAGTAACCTTTACAGAGAAAGCACTGAAAGACACACAGTTGGTTGAATTAAGAGACTTTTAAATGAGTTAGAATGATTTACAGCCCACAGAAAGGTATTAGATCTTTACATGGTGAAAGTTGTTAGTCACCCACAAGAAAGACAAGCACTATGGGCAATTCCAAGACTATGTCATAAAATTTCGTCACTTTTGTTTGTTTTGTAAACCAGGCTTCTAGCTGGCAACCATGCTACATTTTCCCAGTAATCCAACATACCCTATAAGAGATTAGAAAACTTTAACTTCTTAATAACATTCAATGTGAACTTGCACAAATGCTAGGCATAAAATAACAAATGTTTATAATTCTACAGGCATCCAAAAGTTCCCTTCATATTCATTTTGATTCATTAAAGAATAATGGAAATATAGGAACACATACACACAAAATTATTATGCAATTGTCTTATTTTTATAAGATAATATTCCACTCTGGTAGCCTTTTGTTTTGTTTTTGGTTGTAAAATTAATTTAAGTAGCCCATTACCTTTTATATCAAATATGCCTTTTGATGTTTGCTGTTGTAGCAAAAAAAAAAAAAAAAAAAAAAAAAAGAGAGAGAGAAATCTAAAAAAGGTAAAAAGCAAAAGAAAAACATTCAAGACAAATGAAATAATTCATTCTGTATAAAATGTGGTGTTTCAAATTCAGGATAATTTAATAACTCTTGGTTATTTCATATGCATCTGGAAATGGGACAGATACACGTCCTGTTCCTGTCACAAGAGGCAGAATTCCAGCATTTGGTACAACGTTCCAAGATAAGGTCAAAGTGACATTCCTGTTTCCCTTGAGACCATTTCCATCATCAAAGAAAAAATATTTTGTCTTCATGTCTTTCAATAGCAGCTTCGGATTATCACCTCTCAGAACAATCTTGTCCCAAAGGACCACTTGATTCACAGCATTATTTTTTGTTGAATATTCCGCTGATAAATAAACAAACAGCTGCTTAACATTCCAATCGAAAGTATTCTCCAGATCCGCAGTGATATGAAATGTAATGAATCCCAGATCACTTCTTTTTCTGGGTCCAGTGAAGTCTTCTACGTTTTTCAGCAGGATCCGCGAAACGTGCAAACGCACCGGGGCGCTCCTGTCTTTGAATGCTGTGGTGATGAAGCAGCCCAAGGTGAGCGCCGCCATCACGCTCAGTGAGAAAGCGAACAGTGAGTTCGCCCGCGATAATATCGAGTTCATCTCGACCTTCTCCCACGACCCTGTCTCCACAGGCACACCAGGGGTCTGGGCTCTGGTTCCCCCTGCGCACTTGCTCCTTGTGATTTTAGCTGACTGCTAGGCAGGCGTTCCCTGAGCGTGCGCCAACCACGATTTCTTTTTTTTCCAAGTCACTAGTTTACAGTACAAGCACTGTTCAATGTATTTCGAATGTCAGCGGCGCTTAGTATAACTGATGTCAGAAAACACCAACTCTATTTCTCCATGTGGCTGAACGAGCCCAGGGATCCTTTTTGATTCTGCCTTATTCCCACAAGGACACACAGCCACTGGAGGTACAGATTGCCTTATCTCCGGACACGCCCTGTCTAGGTGCATTTCCTCTCTGCACACGCCACTGGTCCTATCCACCCCATTCCCTCCCCTGAACTTCAGCAATATTCAAATGATTGTTTGCACAGGCTATTTTGTAGTCCATTCTCCACACAGCAACCAGAGTTACCTTTTGACAAGAATCAGATTCTTTCACTCCCAAACTCTAACCCTTCACACTCAGAATAAAACCCAAACTCCCTTTGTGGACCAAACCCTAAAGCTCCTGTTTGCCCTTTGCACCTCACCGCCCACTAGTCTACATATTGTCTGCCAGGCTGCCAACACTGAATTTTTCCTCTGTTTCTTGATCAGCTGATGTCCACAAACAGCGCAGGGACACTGATGAAATTACTGATTCATGCCTGGCTTCTTCTTGTCCTTTGGACTCAGCTCAAATACCACTTTCTGAGAAGGAGCTTCACTGACAACCCCATCTATCATAATCCCTGTTCCCTGATTTTCTACTCTATTTATGTGTATTATTATCTTCAAATCACAAATCACCATATGACATTGTTCTTTTTAATGATTTGTTTTCCTGCTAATTGTCACTATTCCCAAATTAGAATGTTAGCTCCAGAGATTCTGCCTATCTTGTTCTTTGCTCTGTTTCCCTAGTGCCTAGATCCTAGTCTCATATATGAATTACTGAATAAATATTACTTAATTGAAGGAAATTTTACCAATTTGATACACCAGAGAATACACAGACATTTAAAGCCAAGAAATAGGAGTAACCAACAATGGAATTAGACATCAAAGGATTCAAAAATTTAGCAGAACTTGTTACAAATTCACAAAAGTGCTTTCAAACCTGGATGAATACTGGAAACAACTAGAGAAATTACTCAAAATATGGACATGTCCATCCAACCTTCCTGGTTTTGAATCAGCAGACATAGGGTGGACCCAAATATGTGCTATTTTAATAAGCAACAATTGATGATTTTGATGAAGTGATTCATGGACCACACTTTCAAAAATGCTGATCTCAATAGCTCACATTTGAGTGCTATTATTTTATTAAGTACTATTGCATAGTTATGGGACATCTGGAGTGTTTGTTAATTTATTTACTTGAAAGTTCATAAACCACACTTAGACCACACATTTCTTTCCTACATGGGATCATACTTATCATCAGAGTATTCCTGATGATCAGAAAGATCTTATATAGAGGAGGTTAGTGTAGGGTAGCATCTTACCAAAGTGTTCCCATGGTGGGACACTGATCTCTCCAGGAATCTGTCCAGCAGACTCAACATCATATTTGTTTTTCTCTATAAGCTCCTGGCTCTGGAGTACAGAGTGCACACCATTCTCTAATGTTAAACTAGAAGAATAAGTAAAGGGAAAGAAAACACATAGAATAGAGAAAAAATAAGAGGATGTTGTCTTGCCTTTCCTAACTCAAGTTAACTGGAAGCTGTTCAATGATGTTTTTCCTCTTTCACAGCTCCATTCCACAACTCCCTTCTGCACACAGCAGTGACCCAGAAACTCACTAATAATGAAAATATGGGCTTATCCCTGCTTGATGTTACATTTTCAAGTATTCTCACTATTGTCAGGGTATTATACTGATATAATAGGCATTGTTTGGCTGAGCACAGTGGCACACACCATAATGCCAGTGGCTCGGGCAGCTGAGGCAGGAGAATCTCAAGTTCAAAGCCAGTCTCAGCAACTCAGTGAGGCCCTAAGCAACTTAGTAAGACTCTATCTCTAAATAAAATATAAAAAAGGGCTGGAGATGTTGCTCAGTGTATAAGCCCCTGTCCCCCAGGTTCAGTCCCTGGTACCAAAAACAAACAAGCAAAAAACTCCCCAAAACAAAACAAAAAATACATATTGTATGGACAGAATGAAGGAAGCAAAGTGTGAATGAGGAAGTAACATTTGCTTTGCTGATGGATAAAAGATGCACTACATTGTAGGTTGCTATTTTTAGATGATCTTCAAAAAATGATGCTCTGAGGTAGGCTTCATTGCTTCTTTTTTATACATGGGGAGATGTTAGTCTCAGAGAGCAAAGTAAATTCTCAGGGAATTATAGAAAGGTATCAAGTGGACACTTAGACCCAGTTGAAGTGACTTCCACTGGTTAATTTGGGGACAATCTAAGGATAAAATATATAACAGAGGGTAACTTCTGAGAAAAATGTGAATCTTAGAATCAGACTGATACAATGATATTGGTACATGATAAATAAATAAATAGGAAATGAAGATTCTACACTCTTCTCAAATGCCAACTAAATATTTTAGAAGGAACATCAGAATTAGAAAAGCTGCACATGTGAGCACCAAAGTAATTAGTAATTCAGGCAAAAATCATAAACAGATGCTCAGTATATTCCAAATCCCACAGCAGTCACAGTCACTATGGTAACCATGCTGGCCAAGGAAATGTTAGGAAAAACAAACAACAGCCACAGTAATCTCATCTCTAATATGTGCTAGGATCTGAATAAGAACAACTTGACCACAAAAATTAACTTTAAGTATACTTCACAATAAAAATTCCTAGCAGCTTCAGTGGTATGTAAATATATACATACATTTACGAATATACAAATATGTACATATTGTTTCCCCTTCTTTCATACCACCCAGGATCCCAGGAATTCATTAAGCTGAATTTTTTAGGAGGTAAAGAAGTAAAAGCACACATTTCAACGGTTTAATTTCTAACCATGTATATACTATTGAAAGCTACTAAACTATGTTCTTTTAGAGATTGATTTTTTTTTTCTGTAGATGACCTGTAGAACTGTTCCTGGGACATTTTTATCCCTAGTTTCTATGTATTCCTAATGGCTTCCAAAATCTTACATTGAAATACTGATAAATGTGGATTAAGCATGAAATAATTTTTCTGCCAAAAATATTCCTTAACAGCTAATATTAACATATGGTTGCTGAAAGTTCAGAAAAATAGAATAATTGACATTTGTATTTGTAAAATAATATTTTAAGATACATCAAAAAGCATGAAATATTTATGAACAATCTGTCCCCAGAACTGTGATATGTACATTGATTACTACAGAATATTGCTGAGAAAATTAAAGATGTAAATAATTAGAAGATATACCCTGTTCATGGATCAGAAGACTTGGGATTGTTAAGATGTCAATTCTCTCCAGTCTGATCTACAAACTCACAGCAACTGCAGTCAAAATTGTTATCTTCCATTCATGATATTTTCTTTCATACAGAGGGACATAAATCTCAAAATGACTTTAGCATTTCTACATACTCACTCCTCTGGGTATCAATTATCTGATTAATGAATTTGGAAGGAGAAGCGGGGGTTCCTCATCCCAGCCCCTTTCCCTATCAAAACTATTAATCATAGTCTGGGCTGAACAAGTGTGTGTTCTGCTTTGCTTGCCAGAGGTGGGTATTGCAAAGAGCCCACAACTCTATTTTCTCATTTTCTTGTCTGGCTGGCTTACTTTCTCTTTCTATCATGTTGGTCCATAAAGCTTGGATCATTATGAGACTCTGCCCAAATACACCTCCTCCCCATCTGACCTCTGAGCCAACCAAGAAATACAACAAGAGCCTATGGAGGACAAAACATCAACTTCATTCCTTCTTAAGGTGACACTGGAGAAAAAGGCTTAGGTCTGAGGACAAGATATTTCTTAATAAAACAGAATCAAACAGATTTATCCACACTGTAGTGCTACACTGGGTCAGTCTAAAAGTCAACCACTGCAATGCATATCCTAACTGCTGTCCCAAGGAGTCTTGCCTATGTGTGCTTAAGGAAAGTAACTTCCTTGTTGCAAGGCTATCCCTGTCACAGGTAACATATTCTCAAGTCACACTTTTTGTGAAAAAATTTTGAATGTGAATAAATACTTCTTATTTTAATTCAATATTCACCTAGCAACCTTCTAAGGTTACAGATTTCCATGTACCTCATAAGATCCTCCAATCTTAGGACCCTGAACACTGCTTCATATCAAATTTGGCATGGATTTGTGTATGGTCCAACCAGGCTGAGCATCCAGCAGTGAGACAGATTTTCCTATCTGAATGGATGGAGAAAACTCAGGGGGTCTGAATGTACTGAGTTATCCAGGGAAATGGTCAGCTTAGCATTGAGCAATGTGGACAGATGAGTGATTAACCATAGGAGCCAATGCTGACTGAATTTGGGGGAAATTCTCATAAGTGGACTGCTTTGTCAAAGATCATAAACATTGAACAAAAATCAAATTGAATTTGATTATGGTCTCATTTCATGACTCAGAAAATTTCCTGGAATTTTGTAGAGTTTTAAAAGAAAACCCAATCAGTGGGCTTATATTTATGTTTCATTCTCTTTACATGGAAAATATGAGGTCATGAGATCTGCATACATTGCTGGGAGAGAACATATTAATGCAATTATTTGTGAAAACACTTAGCAACATCTGTAAGAGAAGAAAGTGTGTCACCTGTCAACTTCTACCCTATTAGGTCTAAACCGCAGAGATTTACAGGCACATGCACAAGAATGTTCACTACAGGACTGCTAAAATGTCAAAACTGCAAAGTCATCAACATCAGAGGAAACAAGAAAATGTTTTCAGAGGGAAAAGTTTACAAAATGGCCCCCATTCTATGATATCACTCACATAGTTAAAAAC